GTTTTTCCTCCCAAGGTGGAGAACTTTGCATTTTTTGGTGTTAAACACCATCAGGTTCTTGTCCACCCATTTGCTAAGCCTGTCCAGGTCAGCCTGGATCACCCTCCTGTCTTCTGGTGTGGATGCTTTGCCCCAAAGTTTGATGTCGTCGGCGAACTTGGCCAGTCCGCTTCTGACTCCAGTGTCCACAACATTAATGAAGATGTTGAACAATATGGGTCCAAGGACAGAGCCTTGGGGAACCCCACTGGTCACAGGGCACCATGATGATTGACTTCCATCAAGTACTAGCCTCTGGATCTGACCACGGAGCCAATTTCCCAGCCAGCGGATCGTGGTGGACCCAAGGCCACAATTGGCCAGTTTCACCAAGAGGTGATCATGGGGATACCAGATTGAAGGCTTTTTTGAAGTCAAGATATATGACATCAGTCTCTTCTCCCTTGTCCAGGTGATAGGTCACCTGGTTGTAGAAGGAAATGAGATTGGTCAAACAAGACCTACCTGCAACAAACCCATGCTGGCTATCCCTTAGGATGTTGGCGTCAGCCAGTCCATTAAGGATGGCCTCTTTAATAAACTTTTCTAAGATTTTCCTCGGAATAGAAGTCAGACTGATGGGCCTATAGTTTGCCAGATCCACTTTCCTCCCTTTCTTGAAGATGGGGACCACATTGGCCTTCCAGTCTTTAGGCACTACACCAGAGAGTGAGGAGTTTTCAAAGATCTGTGCCAGAGGCTAGGCTATGATACTCGCCAGCTCCTTTAGTACCTTGGGGTGTAGATTGCCAGTGCCAGCTGATTTGAAGTTATCCAGCCTCTCAAGGTGTTCCTTCATGAGGTCAGCTTTTATGGAGGAAAGGGGATCTCCCTCACCCAGACCTCCGTGTCCTGTAGCGGGCATGGGCATCCCATGGGACTGATGAAAGACCAACGCAAAGTACCGATTTAATAGTTTGGCTTTTTCCTGGGTGTCAGTTGTCCCATCTGATTCAGCAGGGGTCCCATGTTGCCTTTGCTTTTCCTCCAGCTCCCCACATATCTGAAAAAGGACTTTTTATTGTTCTTGATGCTCAAAGCTAGTTGGAGTTCAGTTGCAGCCTTGGCTTTCCTGGTTCGCTCCCTGCGGGACCGAAGCAGTGCAGAATAATCCTCCTTGGAGGTGAATCCCATCCTCCATCCTTTATAGGTCTTACTTTTTAGCCTCAGGAGGTCTGCTACATCCCTGGAGAGCCAGAGGGGCTGCTTTGCCCTCTTGCTGCCTTTCTTCCGAGATGGTATGGAATTAGCTTGTGCATTGAGGATCGCTCCCTTGAGGAGCAGCCACTCTTCCTGAACTCTCCTCTCCCTGGGGTCGTGGTCCCTTAGGGCCTGACTGACAAACCTCCTGAGCTTGTCAAAGTCGGCTTTCCTGAAGTCAAGGACTTCCTTGTTGCTGACTGACTTGCCAGCTTTATGGTGGATGGTGAAGGTTATCAGCTCATGGTCACTGTCACCCAGCTTCCCATCGATCACTAGGTCGCCAATTAGGTCATCCCCAGTAGCCAGTACCAGGTCGAGCAGCTCTTTACCTCTCATGGGCCCATAGACTTCTTGAGTCAGGTAGAGGTCATCCACGCACAGTAGGAAGCTTTGTGACTGCTCGGATTTTGCTGAGTGATCCTCCCACGAGATGTCTGGGTAACTGAAGTCACCCATGACAACCATGGTCCTGGAGCATGCAGTCTCAGCTGAAGACCAGGGGCCTCCAAACCATCCCCCCTAGCTCCTGCCTTTACCTCCAAGTTGTTCATGGAGCTGGAGCTCAGCAAGGCTATGTTTCTTCCCTGCTGTCTGATCTCAAACTGCTCTCTGAGCTGGGCCCTAAAATGCCACCCTCAGCAGCCACCTGGGAGCAACCTGTCTCTTAAAGTGACAGACACCAAAAAGGGTGTTGTTGCAGGGAGTTTTGACTTGCAACTCAAAAATACACATTGTAGGTACTGGAGCTGCTGGTGTGTGGTAAGTTCCTTATAGGCTGAAATTATTAAAAGTTCCAATATGACACTGGAAGGAGAAACCAAAGAGTGAGAATCCTGTGAAATGGTATCTTGAAAGAAGTATTCCAGCTTAGTTAAACTCCTTTCTTTTTAAAATCTTCGTGTAATCTCTCTTTTCTCTTTAGCCTGATGAAAGACTATTTCTTCAAACCACCTATTAACCAGCTGAGCCTGAACTTTCTGGATCGGGATTTGGAGATGGCCTACAGGACCAGCTATCAGGAAGAGGTGGGTTTTTCCCTGAATTGATTTTCCATTTAGTACTCTTTCTATATAGTTTGTAGGAGCCGAATACCATATTTACTCCAATCCAAGACAAGGATTTTTTTCCCCATTAATCTGCAGCAGCCATCTGTCCCTCCTCTCCACCTACCCCCTTGCAGCCTCTGCCCTGTTTTCCACCCCTCCCTACTGCTCATTGTCAGTCATGGCTCTGGCTCTGTATCTGTATCTGTCTCCATCCCAGTTATGGAGCACTTGCAAGCTCCAACCTGTGCCCAGCCTTGCAGCAGTGTCCTGGGGCTAGAGCTGCTGCTGCTGTACAGCTGGACAGGTGCCAGAGTTTGCACATGCTCTGTACACAGGAGGGAATGGAGCCAGAGCCAGAGCTGTACCTGACTAAGCAGCAACAGAATAGGTGGGGGATAGAGCCTGGGGGGGGAGACAAGTAGTGAGGGCCACTTGCCCCCCAAGCTGTCTCCACCCATGCTGCCACTTTCCTCACTACAGCAGCATTGTAACTTAAGCCAAAATCTAATGTAATCCAATAATTAGTTTATATACATGAAAATTGTAACAATTTTTTACATTTTCCATATATAGAATCTAATTACGTGGGAGTTGTCTTAAATTCAAAGTCATCTTGTATTTAGGCAAATACGGTACACTCATTTTCCAAAGTCATTACAATTATCAACCAGAATGCTGGGATTTCAGGTATGAGCTGTTTCTTAATGCTGGTGTCTTTCTAAGAAACTACCATCTTATTTTCGTTCACCTAGCTTGATCAGTAATCTAATTTTAAGCCTTGAAGATTGACATTGTGTATTTATCTGGTAAAATTTCAGCTGTTAAATTTATACCTGTAGCAAGTCGTGCTTCAGGGGTGGCCATGACGACCCCTGGTGGCCACACAACCCTTGCCCTGCTCTGGCTGTAGGATAGCCTCTCTTCTTTTTTCCTGCCATATCTTTATGTAACTATGGGTTGCTAGAAAGGGAGGCTGACTAGGGGTCCTAGAGCGAGCCCTAATTTCTTTTGACCCCTTGGGTCTCAGTCCTACTTCATGCTTGGTCCGCCTGGTCCCCTCAGGGTAATTGTAGCTGTAAAGGTTATTCATGGTCTCCAACTACCCCTACAGCAGTGTCTGTGCATCGTAGGTGTCACTACACTGTCACTGAGACAGAGATAAGCTAGGGACCACAAATAACAAATTTTGCAAGCTTTCATTTTCAAAAGTTAATGATACTTAACTTTTGAATTTATTTTCAAAGTTATTTGACTATCTAGTAAGTAGCATTTGCTTCTTACTTCCAACTCTGAACTGGTTAAAGTTTTAACTCTAAATGTAAAATGGAGTATGATATTGTAACAGAGCGCCTCAGGGTCTCTGTTACTTTAACCTCTGTTACTTTAGCCTTGTTAAGCCTTAAGGGTTATTCATGGCCTCTGACCTTCCCTATAGCAGTACCCATGCCTTGCAGGTGTCACTGCACAGTCACTCCCTTGTTGGGGCCTCAGTCTTTTCAGTCTCTGCCCCTTTTCTCTGGCTGCAAGCTTCCAGTCCTGGCCCAGTGATTTGGGTCCAAAGCTCTCTGCCTCAGCTCTGTTAGTCGTAAGTATCTGGGACCTCCAGCCCCTGTATCTCTTGCTCTGGGCCCCTGGCCCCAGTCTCTGCCCTTCCTTTGAACTTTGAACGTGAATTTAAAAGTTAACTTTCATTAACTTTTGAAAATGAAAACTTGCAAAATTTGTTCTTTATTTGTGGCTCTTAGCTTATCTCTGTCTCACCTAAACTTACACTGAGCTTTGTTTGGAAATTAATTAAACAAAAATGCTATATTGTGACATGTAAAAGTGCAGAAAACTTTAGATTGAGACATTGGTAGCTTATTTTCTGATGTATATACATGTGTATTGATGAGAACTTTGTCATTTACTGCATTTTGTAACTTAATGCTAATATTGCAGCTCTTATTGTAGAGTAGTGTAGTAGTTTATTTACAGCTTTTGCTAAAACAAAACAAAATTAACAATAAAATCAGATTATTATATAATTTACCATCATATGTAAAAGCACACAATGAGTTTTACACATTCTACCAATTTAAACAAGATTAAAATCAAACATTGTATGTGGCGATACAAAAATGAAGTGGTATAAATAGAAAAGTAAAAAATTAAAAGCAGGGAATTCAATTTAATTTTGATATTATATTCTTTGTGCAAGTAATGCAGACACACCTAGATAGTATAGAACAAGCTGTAAGTCATTGCTAGAGAGGAGCCAAATTGTTTTTTCTTCATTAGCCCGGTACTAATGGAAAAAATTCCACATTTTCCTCTTATTTCGTCAAAGAATGAGCAAGATCACAGATAGTGATTTCAGTCATCATTCTCGTTCTTCCCACATGAACATATCCTGTCAGAATATGGGGTCCGATACCACCTGCCTATTACAACTGCAGATCTCATTAGAGTCAATTGCAGTGTAGTGATAGCCTCTCATTTTTGTGCTTTTGTACTTCAGATAGATGTGTCTGTAGGCCAAGAGAGTGCTTTATTAATCTCAAAGCCTCAGTACAGAAATTACATATAAACCAGTATAAGTGATTGGAAACCAGTTCAAATCTGTAATACAACAGAAGTTCAGTCAAGTAAGCCACTTTCAAAGTGGCTGAGCCCAGTTTAAAATAAACCTGGATGGATGTAGTATCAAACTTAACTGATTTAGGTTAAATTGGTTTATTAAACTTCTGTCCCAGATCCCCTCCAGATTCAAGTTCACTCACAGTCCCCCCAGCACCCCAGGATGCTTTGTACCTCCCTTGCAAACTGCCTCTCATAGTGGGGTTGGGCTAGCCTTAGCCTAAGCTGCCTGCTTCAGCTGAGCAAGGAGGCATGCTGTAGGCTACTGCAGGCCTGTGGCTGTATTTCTGGAATCAAAAATGAATGTGTGTTCACTTGTGTATCAGTTCAATTTATGCAGCTTAAACTAATCTGCAAAGATTGAATGATTCAGCCTCAGGCTTTTTGACTTTCTGTACTAAGCCAAAAAGGGGAAGGTCAGGAGAATCTTACTGCATGCATATCTGTCTACATGCTGGTGTCCTTTTTAATTAATTTATATCTTGTTTTACTTACTTTTGTCATCATTGTTATGTATAAACCTTATGTTACAATAAACACAAGAAACAAGAAAAAAATTAAAGCTGTTACATGGAACAAAGCTGTTAGCAAGTATTTGCTGCTGTTTATAAACCATTAGAGTCCTTGAAATTAAAAATAATGTGCATATGGACATAAGTAATAATATTTGCATACACTGTTTACAGTACAGTAAATCTAGCTCTTTCCAACTGGAAGTAAAAGAAAGAAGGACAAGAACTACATCTTTATATGCAAAAATAATTTTCAGAAATGCTCAGATTGTTAAATTCATGTAGGCATTCATGAATCCTAGAGAAATCGTGCATCGTGGAAGTAAGATTTTACCTATTTGGATATTAAAGTGGGTATGTTATATGTAAATGTCAAAGCAACAAATATGCTTATATCAAACAATCAAAAGAAAACCTAAACCAGCTTCACACTTCCATGCTTTTATATGCTACACACATTACAGAAAAAGTATTTTATAAAGGTTTTAATTTTATTTTGAGTTTTTTAATTCTTTGACCTGTAAACCCAGATGCCTCAATGTGTTCCAACTGTATGGCTATAAGTAAGCCATACAAAAATAAAAAATGACCTAGAGTGGTTTATCTGTTTATAAGTCATGAATCTGAGATCTTATACCTCTTGACAAGAGTTATATGAACAAACATATGCAAGAGTTATATCCCCTGCTGTAAGATGTGAGTCTTTCCTTTTCAGTGATATCCCTTGCAGTTTGGAAACACAACACTTTTAAGGCCTTGACTTTTTTTAAATTCAGAAAAGTGGTTCCCTGTTCAGGACTGAGTATATCCTAACATGGGATGAGAAATTATTGTCACGGTGGATAAACAGCTTTGGAGACATGAAATGGTATTTAGCCCTTAGGGTAAGAACTGAAAGGAGACCACAGCATTATCGAAGTCTATTGCAAATATCTATCTTGTAGAGAAACTGTGTAAAAGTCATGTCGGAAGCTTTCATTGGCTCTTTAAGTGGGCATTTTAGTATGGGTTAAAAGAGCTTTACCATATATCTGCCATGCAGAGATGTGGGGCAGAAAATTTTCCAGTACTTTATTTTTCCATGAGAAATTTTCCATTTCTAAAAATTTATTTTCCATAAAATTCATTGGTAACAATGAATGGATACCAATACAATATTGGGCAAGCTTGGCGGTTTCGAAGTTGTAATTAGTGTTTTTCGGGTGATTATCCCTAGGAAATGTGAGAGAGTATATATATGTTTTAGTGATTTGCAAACAGGAAAGTAAATACACTCACATAATAATTCATACCAAAAATCAAGTTATGAATTCACAAATTGACTGTGCAGGTCAAATCAAAACCAAAGCACGGCATATCACGCACAGTTCTTTGGGTGTGCTAAAATTAGTGTGTCAACAGTTTTCAGTGCCTTCATTTTTTTCCTTAAATTTAAACAAACAATGTAAGGGAAGTACATGCTATTGTGTATTGTCTTTACATTTTTACGAGTATTCCAATAAAAATAATTGCTTTCAACACAAAGCTTTGAATTTGTTTGAATATAACATTTAAACCGCATTAAGTGTGCTGTATTTCATTTTTTTCTTAATCAAATATTTCAGTTCAAATATGTGTGGCTATTGGGACATAAAATTAACATGGGGGTACTTTTTTAGTTTTGTTTACTAGATATAAGCCAAATAAACATGCTAAATCAGATCATGCTCTATTTAGGGCATTGGAAAATTTTCCAGAAAAGCCACATCTTTGTATTTGCCTCACAGTAACTGCTCTTGCATATACTCTCATTGCACAGTAGGTAGAAGCTAAACTGTGATGACCTACCCCTCTGCCACTCTGGGCTAAGCTTCTGCACTTCACAGGATTAACTGGCTAGTACTTCGCTGTGGGCAGCGGCAGCATACAGTACAGCAGCAACAGCTGGAGTTTCACTGCTGCAGGGTGAGAAAGCACCTCGTTGTTTTGGTGTTGAGTGGCCATTTAAAGACCAGTTTTCGGTGGTAGAAAAATAAGTTACATTTCCCCCCCCCACCCCCGCAGCAGTGGACCTCCAGCTGCTGCTCCTGCCCTGTGCACCACTGCTGCCCTGCCCTCCCCATTGCTGGAGCCAGAGCTGCTGCAGAGAAGGTGCATGAGGAGGACTAAAGAAATGGGAGAGTGAGGCACCCCTAGCTCCATTCTGTTATTGCCTCCTTAGTGTCTGGGACTCACCCACCTATCATTATACTAGTGGCAATTCAGCTTCCACTTATTGCAGGAGAAATGTATGATAGTTAGCACAGTGCAGCTGATATGCAGTAAAACTTCCTCCCCTTTTGCCCATTGGTAAGCTGTTCATATGTCAGTATTCTAAGAATCCCAAAGGGAGTCAAGTTACGTTTCCTTCTTCATGAATTTTGCCTTTTATCAGATACTGTTCTTTAATGATTTTTCACTAAGAGCTAATAGTAACTGAATTTAAAGCTGGTTTAAAATATGTGCTCATTGTTTGCTAATGATGTAGAAAACCTTTGCTCTGTTTTCTGTTTTCATTTTTAAAAGTAAGTAACTTTCCCCAGTGAAAAGGGAAATTTTAAACTAGCAAAACATTTCTAAAACCTGTTGTCAGAATGTGGTTAGTAATTAGATGACATCATCAGGTTTGATCCCATGAGACTTCATTACTAATTTTGAACTCTGGTTTATATTTTATGTTTGTATCACTTGTAAGTAGCATTGTTTCTGGCAATTAAAATGTTGTTCAAGTGTTGAATAAATCTGAAAATCCTTTATTTAGGATTGCTCAGTGGGTTTTGTTTAGATTGTCCTCAAACTGAGAAAAAAATGTTGATTTTGCACCACTAACTTTAAATATTACATTTTCCAGACAAAGGAAAAAATAAACTACAATAAAATGATCAAGTCACAACAGAATTTGAATACAACCCATGCATCAAATCTAAATAAAGAATTATTGGATTTATTCAACATTTGAATAAAATTTAAAAGGGGGGTAAACTTTCAACCCCAGACCGAGTATCCTAATTATTTACAGTTAGAATAAATATTGAGTATTTGCACCATTATTACATGATAAATTGATATAAAAGTACAAGCCTCATATTTGTGGGAGCAGCATCCTATTGCACATTTGTGCACAGTCAACAACTTTGTTCCTTTTCCTGTTACTAATGGTAAGATATTTGCTATGGTGCAGTCATTTATTTTAACATGTCAACAATATATTTTAAAAATAATACTAACCTTTATATGTTTTCCAAGACTTTTGCTTCTTTTCTTGTTTCAGCTGCATACAGCTTTGTGCATGGCCTGAAGGATCTTGTTATAATAGATCTGTTTGGATTACAAAATATTGTACAACAGACCACTACTACAGAAATGGTGCCAGACAGCTGAATGCATTAGGCTGTTAAGAGCGTAGAGTGAGCAGCATATGATAAACAAGTTCATTTGTCAGTTCTGCTGACTATAATTGGTATAGTATTTCTGTAAATCAAAAGGAATTCCTTTGTGGAATCAAATTGTCGGTTCATGGCAGCTTTGAAAACAAGCTACTTTTTGTTTAAGCCTGATTTGTTTGCTTCAGAATCTAAGTTGACCTTGAAGATGGTGAAGCTTCAAAAGAAAATAGAACTATACATTCTGTTCATTACACCTGGATTCTAGTTTATAGCTTTACAGATGAATAAAGGAAAATGGGGGCGTTCACATCTCTAAGTCATTGTTTTTTAGTTCTTAATATTTTTATATAAACTTTACATGGTTTTTATGCAGGCTTTCTATATTATTAGCACACTAAAAACATTTTGGTGCTCTTTAAAAATATTTCGGCAGACAAGGGTGTAAATTTGATGATGTCTTTTGTTGCATGACTCATCCACTAGAAACTGAACTGAGAGCCCAGTTTCTTTCACCATGAACATAAAGTACTTATGTTGAATTGATAAGGAATGAAATTTCTGTATTTTCTGCTCCTTCCATTTGTTTTCAAATGATCTGTTGATCTATAATACAAAAGAATTAAGCACAAAAAGGCTTGTTCATATTCTCTCCCCCACCCTTGTATTCCAAATAGGTTATAAGGAATGCACCTGTGAAGACATTTGCCAGTGCTACCTTCAGTTCACTCCTGGATGTGTTCCTCTCCACAACAGTCTTCCTTATACTCTCTATCACTTGCTTCCTGAAACATGGGATGGCCAGTTCCCCTCTCCCACCTGCAGCAGTTGTTGTATTCATCATTGCCATCCTGTTGGAAGTGCTGTCCCTTATCGTCTCAATTAGGTAAAGTGAATGAAAGTCTAAAAAAAATGGCTGATGTCACAGAAAGATGACAAGTGTTTTATTTATAGCTTAGTAACTTCTGATTAAAAAGTAATTCATAAGTTATTATTTATGGAAGACAAAATGTTGTAAATTTTTAAATGAAGGGTTTTTATGTCCTCCTCTTTTGTATTATGATTTACTACAAATGAATCCATACATTGTAAGCCAAGTCTAATAGCCTATGTCCAACCTGAGATAGCCTGAGAGAGAGATCTGAAACTCTCTCCGCAAGGATGCCACGGGGATGCCCTATTGCCCTATACTTACACAAGTGATGGGATTGAGGACAAAAATGTAGTAATTTTTAAAATATGAGGGTACTTGATTTTATCAATAGACATGCAAAGGTATATGATGTGTAATAGACACACAAAGAATCCACCGTGCTGAAAAAATTTTCAGTGGTCCTCGCAGGGTACATTCCCTAACCTTTCTCCTTAACAGTTTGTAGATATGTTTTTATTCAGTAAAATCCTTACTTGGATGGCTTTCACAGGTCACAGTATCCAAAGCAGATGACTTGGTGCTTCCTTCCCATGAGTAAAGAGTAATGGAATTTACGTTATATAAAAGTCAAATTTTTCATTCTGAATACAATGTGCTTAAATGGCATTAGTAGCTAGGTACCTTCTCTTGACATTTTTGCTGTGAAAGCCTGCTCTATGCTTATCCAGGGTCTAACTAAACTGCAGACAAACTTCCTGGGGTCTGTTTCCTTTGTTTTTCTGAAAGAAAATTGAGTGCTCTGAATGAAATGGGAAGCCCTATTTTTCCTTCCCTTTTCTTCAGTTTCAAAGCTTTGTTCTTCCAGGCAAGGTGGTGGGGACAGAGAACTTGATTCACCTTAAGGCTGAATTGGATATCTTTATAGAAAGGACAGGGGTTTCTGGCTCAATAGTCTGTGTGTGTGATATTTGGAATTGGGTATTTGCAATCCCCAGGTTCGGGTATAGCAATAATTGTCTTGTAGAATATCTGCCTTATGCTTCATTGCTTTTGTTGGTTACCAGTAGGGACCAAGAAGATTTTTTTTTTCTGTTTGTAAATCCTTCTGGTGTACAGTGTTTCATTTGCAGGGCTGTTGGTTGTACCCACGTTGGTCTAAGGATATAGGCAGGCAAGGTGCTTTGGGTAGATGTGATATCTTTTATTAGACCAACTAAATAGTTTCAAAAAAGTTCTTTGCCAGCTTATGAGCGCACACACCCTGAATGCCTGAAGAGGGGTGTGTGTGCCCAAAAGCTTGCAAAGAACTTTTTTCCAATTATTTAGTTGGTCTAATAAAAGATATTACATCTACCCAAAGAAACTTGCCTGCCAGTGTTTTATTTTGCCTTCTGAAATATTGGGATGTCAGTCATAGCTAAAGCAAGGGGGTGGAGGGGTTGTGTGTTAACTGTGGCATGTTGATGCTTCTGCTTCTACTTAGGAAATGCAGAAGTTCTGGCTAGAAGGTCTTCGTTTTCTGCTCAGGATCATACTAATTACCAAAGTTGCATTAGGATGGAATTTTTCATCTAGGTCAGACTGGAATGAACTGTGGAGATTTTGCTTTCCTCTAATTTGAGGCATAGCTCTTTTTTCCTAGGATCTTCTGAGACTGTATTAATCAATGACTCCCTTATCATTCAGTGGCATTGCAGTGTCATTTCCCTCATCTCCCCTGCCTTTGTCTATGGTATTATACTGCAATGTTCTTGGTGTTTCCAGTACTGTTCCTTGTATTTGTCTGTGAGAGCTTGAAGTGCTGATTTTAGATTCCTTGGGTAAATGATTGCCAGCAAATGGTAGGGACTGTGGACTTGATGGCCCGGGAGGTTCTTCCAGTCCTATGTTCCTAAGGGTGGAGTTACATGTTAACACTTAAACCAGACTAAATTATGGAATGCTAGGTGGTGTTGGAGTTAGATAATGCTGTGAGTAGCAGCACATTAAGAGTTAATACCATTTCTTGGCTGCACAACTCTGACTTGTTACTAAAGGGCTGGTGAGCAAGGGTGTGGCTAGGAGGCAGGACACCTGGACTGTATCCATTCTCTGGGTTGTTTGGGTGCTGAGATGCTGGAGGACTGCAAATTGCTCGTTTCATCTCTGTGGAGCAGACTGAAGTTCTCCTAATATGAGCTACGTAGCACAGCCCAGAGTTAACCTTTGCTAAAAGTGGCATCATTTTGAGACACTTAGAGGGCACTTAGCACAAGGTAAGAAGCTTTAATATGTGGACACTTGCATTTTAAGTATCCATGCTGTGGTCTAAGTGTAACATGTAACTCTGCCCTAAGAGGCATTAAAGAGAAAAAATGAAACTTGAGCTTTTCTTCCTTAGGGCTATTTCTTATTCCTGATTCCCTCTGATGGCTTAGTCTCTAATGTTTCCCTGAATATACTTTGCATACTGTGCAAATAATACATCCTTTAAGCTAAAGTTCTTCTGATCTCTTTCCTAAAAAGGGTTTAATTTAAAAAAATGCAAATGATGACTTGTTACTAGGAAGCTCCACTGTGGGACCCCTATTGTAGGGTAGGGGTCCCACAGTGCACAAGCTCCACTGTGGGACCCCTACTGAATACAGGGTGGCAGCCCACAGTTGGTCCCTGTGAAAAGGCAGAGCTCCTACATACTTCACATTGGTATTCCTGAAATCAGATGGGAGCTGTTCACTTGTCCAGAAGCCCAGGGAATATGGGGAAGACAATAGTCCATATGAAATCAGTCCTGAACAGGTGAGGGTACTCTTAGAACATTTGGATGTTTTCAAGTCTGCTGGACCAGATGACCTGCATCTGAGAGTCCTGAAAGAACTGGCTGAACTCATAACGGGGCCTCTGGCGAAGCTGTCTGAAGAGTTGTAGGACTCGAGGAATAGTCCTGAATGACTGGAAGAGGTCTAACATGGTACCCACCCATCTTTAAGAAAGGAAGGAGGGACAACCCTGCAAACTATAGACCAGTCAGTCTGACTTCAGTCCTGGGAAAAATCTTAGAAAAAATTGTCAAGGGGCCATCAACCACAAGCTCATAACTGGTGGGGTATTAAGAAGCAACCAGCACAGCTTTGTCGAGGGTAGGTCACGCCTAACAAACCTGGTGTCCTTCTCTGACCAGGTAACTAACCAGCTGGACAAGGGACATGAGGTTGACATCATTTACTTAGACTTCAGCAAGGCCTTAAGATGTAAATTGAGGAGTCAGTGGGTGAGAGACAGGCTGGGTGTGGGGGAGAAGGGGGATGAATGTAGCAGTTAAATAGTGGAGAGGTACCTGGGGAGTCAAATGTCAGGCAGGTTATAATGTGTCATAAATCCAAAGTCCATGATTTTTTATATCCAGGAGGTTGATGAAGTGAAGTTCATAGGCTCATCTCTGAGAAGTGTTTTGTAAGTTTCCTTTGAGGATTAGAACTGAGAGATTGGAGAGAGAGTGGTTTTCTTGTGAGAAATGTGCCCCCACTGGTAATTGGGTGTTTTTGTCTGTGATAGATTTCTGGTGTGCGTTTATTCTGGTGCGCAGTTGTTGTTTAGTCTCACCTACGTATTTTCCATCAGGGCATTTGGTGCCTTAGATGAGATATATTACACTCTGGAGGTGAGCAGGGACCAGGTCATCCCCCTCACCGGGATCCCCTATGGTTCCAGGAGAGGCGCAGCCAGGCTCAGGGTCAGTGACGACCTAGTCAGGGAACTTCTGGAGGGACTGGACATGTTCAAATC